CAGGCCGGCAGGAAAGCATGTTCTGTGTCAGCCCGCACTGGGCGTGGGCCAGGGTGTGGGAGATGGGTAGATCTGGCTCGACTCCCATGGATTTCTTTACTATTTCTCCTGGGTGCTCAGACCTGTCACGCCTCTGCCATCACTTGACCTTAGGTGCGAGGGTTCATCCCAGAAAATTTAAGCAATTGATTCATGATTTCTCAGGTTTTCTGAGTCCTGACCTAGAGTGATTTCCAAAGAGAAACCTCCACCATTTCTGCTTATCTTACCTGCCTTGTATTTACTTTTCTAGGATTGCCTTTTCCACATTTAGTCAAATCTAGGTTCAGACCCACATGTAGGCTACAGCTCCTCCATTCTGCACCACTCTCAGGATCTATCTAGAGTCTCCCCACCTGGACCTCCAGACCCTGGGAGAACCAGACCAGCCCCTTGACCTCCACCCACCACACAACCTGGGCCAGGTTCTTCTCCTCCCTGTCCTCAGTTAAAAAAAATTTTTTTTTTTTTTTTTTTTTTTTAGATGGAGTCTCACTCTGTTATCCAGGCTGGAGTGCAGTGGTGTGATCTTGGCTCACTGCAAACTCCTCCCAGGTTCAAGTGATTCTCCCGTCTCAGCCTCCTGAGTAGCTGGGATTAGAGGCGTGTGACACCACACTCAGCTAATTTTTGTATTTTTAGTAGAGATGGGGTTTTACCATATTGACCAGGCTGATGTCGAACTCCTGACCTCAAATGATCCACCTGCTGCTTGCAGTGAGCGGAGATCACACCACTGCACTCCAGCCTGGGCAACAGATTGAGACTCTGTCTCAAAAAAAAAAATCCGCCTGCCTCGGTCTCCCAAAGTGCTGGGATTACAGGCGTGCCACCACACCCAGTCAACACAGACATTCTTACTGCTTTTTTACACAGAATTTTTTTTTGTTGCATAGCATTTTTCTGCACCTTTCTTTTTCCACTTAACAATGCGCTTGGAGGTTTTTCCATATTTGTACATCAGGAGCTTCCTCTTTCTTTGTTACCACATTAAATTCCACGGGGTAGATGTACCATAATTTAACTGGGTCCTTATTGAAAGACAATTGAGCTGTCTCCTAGACAAAGCCTTGTGCACCTTCCCTAACAGAGGGTCT